TTCTGGATCAGACCCGTCAGGTGCTGACATCATGTCCGCTCGATGGAGAACTAGCCACGCCATTAAATATGTGTACGGCAGTTTGACACTCGACAATGGAATTTTAGTTGAAGGCTCAGCACCCACTTTGGTAAAAGTGGTAGCTAGGTTACGCAAACCGCTATGGAGGTCAGCAATCATAGCGGAGAGTAAGGATAACCTACCTCCAACGGCTAGTTGCACGGCGGGAAGAAGAACCTCAAGAGGAAGCGCCTCGGAAGACTGATGCGGCACTACACATTTCTTTAGCCATATGGCCAGATAACCAGCAAGAAGAGTCGCAGGCTTCATTCTTTTGGTGGCTTGCCACAAGAAGGTGCTGAATTTGGTGCCCTTAAGAAAACCACCTTCAGATGACTCAGTCCTATAAGACTGAGCATTGATCTTCATAATTAGCCTGTTAACGTCAGAAGGGGTTAGAATCGGTGATTCACAGACAGCTTCACCGGTCGGGCTCTCGAGATTCTGAAACAAATAGTGAGCGAACTGTTTTAAACTAACTCGAGCTGCCTTCTTACTCTTTACTTCAATCTGGGCTATCGCTATCTGATAGTGACAAGTTAATTCCCAGAGTATGTCATAAGCAGGAGAGCCAACCTTCTTCATCTTCATGAGCTGACGATTGTTGGGAAAATATTCTTGATAAGGAGTGTTCCCCAATGGCAGTCCAGATACTTGCATCATTTCGTGGAGCGGAAGCCCTAACTCCCCATACTTGGTAAGAAATGTATTGGCCTCCGGAATATAAGACTCAAACAAAGCAAGGAAATGATCTACGCTGACTGGAAGACCATGCATGCTGGCTCGGATCGGAGCATATAACCCCAAATTCCTTAACTCTTGATCCCAACGATTGAGTACATACTTGGTCATCCTAGCCCACCATTTGTCGGGAAGAGAATGAACCCATCCATAACATCTAAATTTTGGAATGGGGAGTTCTCGGCCAACCCGAGCGAGCCTATTCTTTACAGTATTGGCCCTTATCATCAGTTCGTTCTGGGGCCCGCTATCTGGTCCAAATATCCCTGGGTGAAGGCCACGGACATTATGCCTGCCGGTGGAGCCAGGAGCGCTGACATCATTACCAATAAATCCACAATGGATATGCTCGTGATCTTCTGTTAGATGCCACGCTATTTTTCTCGAAACAGCCAGATTCCTTAATTGCAGAATCGAATATTGACGAGGGAATGGAGGAAGAAATAGAAAAGCACATTCATGCTCATTCAACCAAAGTTCAGAGCCACAGCAGAGATTGTCTGGATCTTCTATCGAATCTCCGAACAGATAGTCAGGCTTCTTCAACAGTTTGGTAGAATCTCTATTTGGAGTTAAGGGTGAGTCAGTCAGCAAAGCGCGCAGAGTGCGACGACCTCCCTCACGAATCAACTCTGGAATACTATTATCACAGTCTTTACTAAACTGGTGAGCCTCTCTAACCAAAAAGTCGCCGCGAAAGGATGCGTGAAGAGTACCACTCTGGCCTGGGTCCTCTCTATCAGAGAAGGCCACAGAGGGAAAAGGGACTACAAAGAAAAGTTGGAAAACAGTTGTGTAAAAGAGGCTAACGGACAAGTAAACCCGCACTAAGTAGCCGCGGTGGTTGTTGCCGTCGCGCGTTACCGCGGCAGCCTATACTATCGCGCTCAGGCGCGACAGCACGTGCTGCCGCGGTAACTGAGCAGCGGCCTTTGATTTTGACAAGGCACGAGTTCGACAAAGACTCGCACCTTGGCTGTGGTACATGTCTTGATTGAACAAGATATGTGTTTTGAAGCGTCAATCCCCTCGATGGAGGATGTCAACTCTTCCCGGATGCCCCTCAAAGGGGGCAAACGAGGTTATACAAGCAGAAAACAGTAATTTTGAACAGAGGAGAGTTAAAAAAAATTCACCTCCGAATGAAGGGACATCAGCCTCCGCCTCCTCCGACGCCTGAGCTGCAGACTTTCCCTTCGAAGCACGGGTTTTCTTAGGCGACATGGTGAAATCAACCTAGGATCAAAGAAAATTAGGGTTTAGAGATGAGATTTCAAATCAAAAAAAAAAAGCAAAACTAACCCAACAGCAAGGGATGGGTTCGGTTCTACCTGAGAATAGAGGGGAATAGATCCGAAAGATGAACACAGCAAAGGGAACTTCAAGATCTGAGGAAAGACTGTGAAACCCTAGGTCTTGTTCGGAGAAAATCGCTAAGATCCGAAGAGGTGAAGAGAAGAGGAGCCAAGGTTTACCTTATATAGGGTATGGAAGAGAATTTGAGGGGATTTCGAACTCAAAGAAGCGGGGGAAATGACCCGAAAAAGGCCCAACAGCGTCTTATAACCCGATTGGCTGAGGCGCTGCGCGGCATTCGATGCTGTCGCGCTCGAGCGCGGCAGTCTATGCTGCCGCGCTCAAGCGCGACAGTATAAGCTGCCGCGGCAGCTAACCCACCAAGATCCACTTCGACATACAGAAACATGGTGCATACACGATAATTCTTCGGTGTTTGAACACATACATCTCCCTCTGTATTTGGAATACATTCTCGGACACTCCGATGAGTATATGAGTATAAACTGCATCTCCCTGAACCTCCCAACGGGTATATGAGGTTAAACTGTTTCCCGAACACTCCAATAGAGCATATGAGTATAAACTATTTCTCCATTTTTCAACAACAGTTCTGATTCAAGACTTCGACAACGGCCACGCGATAAACACAGTACCGGAGGAATTTTAGCTATTCTACAAAGCACTGAGTAGACTAAAAGATAAAGAAGTCAAGGATTGAAGCCATTCACAGATCATTCTACGCAACTTCTTCAACAAAGCACTGGAGAAATTGCAAGGAAAGCTTATCATATCCAAAGTGTCCCAGACTCCTCTCTAAAAAAATGATGAGTCTGAGATACTTTAGAGGGGGTATAAGCGCGACAGCTTGTCGTGTCGCGGCTTGGGCGCTGCAATCTAGGGTGCCGCGGCTATGTTAAAGGAGTGTTGCAGCAGTTACGAAACAGTTATATGATGATTTTTGAGGCCCACGTGGCAGCATACCAGAAACAGAACGTGTGCTGACGTGGACAAGCAGTTAAACCACGAAAAAAGGTGGTTAAAAGTCGTGGGAGAGCGGTTTTAAGCACGATCAAACGTGCTGATAACTGCCTCTTCGGCCGCGGCAGCTTACACTGCCGCGCCAATAGCCGCGGCAGTGTAGACTGCAGCGGCCAAAGAGAAAACGGCCAGTCAGTTATTTCGCCTCCGTTTCAACTGTGGTGCACTGAGAGCCCTATAAATACCTCCCTAGGCACGAATTAAAGGACAGAGAGCATTTTTGGAGCAGAAGATACTTGAGTCTTTGGTGATTTTGAGAAAGAAAGAGAGAATTTTCACCCTCTGACAAGCATCATTTGGTGAATCCTAGAGATCTAAGCTCAGACTTGATCTTTGGAAGAACGGACATCTTACATCGATAAGATATTCGTTTTCAAATCTTTACTTCGATAAACGAAGGAGAGATCCTTAAACAACCTCTCGATCTACGAATCGGTGGTCCACGAACTAAAGCGTTCCCGGCACAGGCAAAGTCCCACAAAAGCAGGAGTTGATAAACAATTTCTGTGTTATTTTCTCAAGAGTTGTATTTTCTTTTATTTTCATTGTAATTCTTTGTAAACGATCGAAGTTTTAATGGAATCTGCAATGGAAACAACTTTCGCTGAAAACACCCTTATATTCAGACAGTTGAACGCATGATTTAGACATGCGTTCTGGTGACCAACCTCCGCTTATCACGTAACTAACCCCTTCAAAGGGGTTAATATTCCAAGCAATAACCTGACGGCTGAGATCATTTTACCCCAGACGAGCTGATCAAGAAGATTCTTCCGAAGCTGTCTTCCTGACTAAGCTGGGGATGAAAGCCTGTTCATACAAGCTGAAGTCCAAGTCATTATTGACGAACTAAACAAGAAAGAGGATGTCAACAAATTTGTCCAGAACCCTGAGATGCTCAACTCAGTCTGCGATGGGATGCATTCAATCAGCAAAATCTTGGATCTAAAGTATTTCGAAAATTCGTCCTAGTCAACCGCGAACTTTCGAAAACTTTGGAGGGGGTTCTGTAGGTTGTCTAAAAAAATCACAATGGATAGCTAATCCCCATTAGGCTATAACAAAGAAAATTACAATCAGATGACTTTCTTATTACCAACAGAAAGCTACAATCGAGGGACGCCATTATGGACCATGAAGAAATCGAGAGGTAGAATTCATCCCTATAGTCAAAACACAAGGAGCTACGCTCCAAAAGTCAAAGCACCGCAATCATTACATCCTCAGCTATCAACACAGTCCCATTGATCTTGATGGTTATGACAACAACATGACTAATATTATATTAGCAACTATTAGAGATGTTGATGAGTAGTGTAATGATTTTAGAAAAGCAGGAAGATCTAGAGAATTGTGGGCAAATATTCGACATGCTGAGAAGTACAAAGCCACACAAAGAGATAGAGCGTTATTGAGATGCCTCAATTATCACAAATGACCTGAATAGGACCTTCTTGAATGGTTATTGGTGTCATCCATATATAAAGACAGAAAAGGCAGCCACAACTTCACTGTTCGCAGTTCAATCGCTGCCCAACGCAGCTCCAAATCGCTGCCCAACGCAGCTCCAAATCGCTGCCGAACGCAGTTCAATCGCTGCCCAACGCAGCTCCAAATCGCTGCTAAACGCAGTTCAATCGCTACCCAACGCAGCTCCAAATCGCTACCGAATGCAGTTCAACCGCTGCCCAACATAGCTCCAAATCGCTGCCAAACGTAGTTCAATCGTTGCCCAACGCAGCTCTATACCGCTGCCAGACGCAGCTTCAATCACCGTCAGACGCAGTTCTACAACACTGTGAAACGCACCTTTAAACATCGAAGAACGCAACAGAACGCAGCTTCACATCGCTGCACAACACAGCTCAATATCGCTGCAGAACGCACTTCCAGATGCTGCGTTCAAGCGCAGAATCTACGCCAGAACGCAAGTCAAAGTTCTGACATGTTCAAACACGATCCATGCAGTTTCGAAAACCGCTCTTGAGGAGTGGTTTACTTGGGTTGTTACAACCGATTAATGAGGCAACTAAACCCTCATTTAGGAGCGGATTATGGGGGCAGTTACGCCCCTAATCTCCCTATAAATATCAACAAACTCAACAGAGTTCAGGGTTGGACTTTTGGAGAATCAAAGAGAGAGATCTAGAAATCGGATTCAGAGAGTGAGAGGATCAACTCCTTACACAGTCTGGGGAATCATCATCAGCTGAAGAGTCCAGACATTCGATACTTGGCTTATTAACCGAATTATTTTCGGTTCCAATAACTCTTTTCATATTAGAGTTTGCTACTCGTTCTGAGCTACAATACTCGTCAAGAGTTATCAACCAGACAAGTTAGTTATTCCAGTGAATTAAAATTTTCGGATCATCAACGAGAAGCAAACTCGACGCGAGCATTCGAGGGAAGCATCTCATCGCCACCGTGAAGAACCCAGTTTTAAACAAAGGGGAGAATCTAGATCATTCTCTTCTCTTTTGTAATCAGGAAATCCAATTGTAATCGAGAGTTGAGAGATTTGTAAACATTCTTTTTTCTAAGCAGTTAGAGAGAATAAAATCAAATACAGTTCTTTCATTCATTTTCTTATTGCAAAATTTTCCACAAACATCGCTGTAAGGGCAGAGATCGTCTGCGGTCGACCGCCCCGGTCGACCGTGACGCTCTGCGCGGTCGACCGTGATGCCGCAGCGGTCGACCGCCAGGCGCGTATCAGAGTGCGGTCGACCGGTGCGGTCGACCGCCGCACAGTCTGTTGCAAAATCCCTGTTCTGTATGTTTTATTCATGTTCGAGGATTTTGCCTATTATTTGACTCTAGTTTTTAGTATTACTATGTATCCATGCATGATAGATGACCTGAGGGTACCAATTGGGGATATACACACTGATTTGAGTGTGAATTGATATAAGTAGATTTCACTATGTATCTCAGCGATAATAGGTAGAATTTCATACAATATGAGAGAATTCTAGCTGATGGTTATATCGCGTATATGCTTTGGTATTAAAATATCACACGCAGATGGATAAGACGCGACCCACAAGCAGCAGTTGGATGCGTACTACGCCCACTGATAGATAGTTACATCCCTAGTGCCATGATCGAGAGAGATTATGTAAGTTTTTAAACTAAATTTTACAATTCTTTTTTAATCAAGATATTATTTGCTAAGTTGTGCATATATTGATTAAATCGTAGATCAATGCTTTTGATGAGATTGAGGCTAATATAAATGAGTATATCAATGAAATTCAGGATCCGACAGTGTTAGGGATCTTCAATAGAATCAAACAGAGAATAACAAATGTGTTCCATAAAAATTATGTTGACGAGTTTGAAGGACATGAGGATAGGTCACGCTAATTTGGTTAAGTGTACATGTAAAAACGTAGGACAAGTCAAAGGGCGGCACGTGACGATGGAGTCGATACTTCTCATAGCATGGCGCATGCTGATGGACCTGACACTTTTCAACCTCATACACAATCAGTTCAGATCATCGAGGCTCATCAGCATGGACAGAGGGGGCGAGGGCGAGACGGGGG